AAGGAAGGAAGGAAGGAAGGAAGGAAGGAAGGAAGGAAGGAAGGAAGGAAGGAAGGAAGAAAACTACAAGGCTCATTAAGCACTTTATTGACCAAGCCCTCTCCCCAGTCCTTCCTCGTGCTTGAGCCCCGATGAAAGCTTGTCCACTTGGTACTGCTTGCCCCTTATGGTTTCTAACTCAAACCGAGCAAAAGAACTTTGGGTCAATCGGCAGCAGGTATAATAATGCAAGCCAGTCTTCTCTGACACATTGGTTCCTTTTTTTTAACCCCTCAAAACTACCTCTAGCTCCCAGAACAAAGCAGGCACTCAAGCAGGAACTGTGATAAAAGTTTTCTGGTAATATCCTGTTAATTTAATCTGAGTCTAGAAGGAATCCACTAAGATTTCCCAGGTTCTGTGGCCCAGAACAAAGAACTGGACTATTAGTAAAGAAAGGACTATTGTACCCACAGCTCTTGAACTAATAAATTCCACAACAACTCATGGATAATGATAGAGATTGAGACCATTTATTAAGAAAGACAAAGACACCTGCCTAATGAAAGAGGAAGCATAACAGTGGCTGTATTAGCTCACATACATACCATTAACAGAATAGGATTAAAAACAAACGAGAAAGCAAGATGAAGAGAAGATCAAGGTAATAAAATGTAGTGCAGCTGGGAGAAAAGAATGGAAGTGGGTTAGAGAGCTGGGAAAGGTCTCAGGCACAAAGCCCTGGGCCACAAGTCTCCATCTTCCATAGGTCATTTATGCAGCCTCTTGAGATCTCAGGGCCTTTCTCGGCATCCTCTTCCCTCTTCCCTTCTTCCCCCCTTTTTTGCCCCTCCCGTCCCATCCCCTTCCCTGTGCCCCTGCCAGGAACCCTGTCTGTTGGACTCACAGGCTGTGGCTCCCCACCAGTGTATGATCTTGGGTAAATCTTTTTACTCTGCCAAGCTTCATTTATCCCAAGTATGAATGATTATAAAAACATTACACATATATATACATCACACACACACATATATATTATTATTATGCAATTGAAAGGAATATTGCACCCTAATAAATTCTGTAACACAACACCTGGGGTGTGGTCCTGTTGGTAGGCTGTTTGGTAGTGTGAACTACACCCTGGGTTCAGTCTCCCACAGTGTGTAAACTGGATGTGGTGATGCAGGCCTGCAGTCCCAGTCCTTGAGAGACAGGAGGAAGATCAGAAGTTCAAGGTTATTGTTGGATCCAGAATGAGTCTGAGGACTTCTATATGAGACCCTGTCTCAAAGCAGATAGGTAAGTAGGTAGGTAGGTAGGTAGGTAGGTAGGTAGGTAGGTAGATAGATAGATAGATAGATAAGAAGAAAACAGACAGGAAGGAAAGGAGGATGACAGGAAGAAAGGCAGAAAGATGGGAAGAAAAGCAGGAAGTCAGGAAGGAAACAAACTTGCTCTTGTATGAGAGAAACATAATAGCTTTTTATTTCTTGGACTATGGCAGCCCTTTCTCTTTGGCTGACCATTGACAATGACCTTCTCTGGGCTTCCTCTGGAGCCACTGGAGAGGCTGGGTTAGTCCTGAATTCAGGGTAGTCTGGCCTAAATCCTGTCTCCTGCTGGAGTGTCCTGGGTTGTGGCTCTTCCCTCCCATATCAGCCTTCCCTTTTCTTGGGTAGTGACTCCCATGCCTTGGAGTCACTGGGGCCGAGTGGGGAGCAGGCACTCTCTGCTGATCCAGGAGAGTGTCTCTGACTTACTCATGTCTTACCAAGCAGCAGATGTCCTTCCTGCCCAGAGAATACTCATACCTCTTTGGTAGGCAAAACTTTGATATCCTTGAGGCTGATATTTCACACAGGCCAGGGTCAATGCTGGATTTTCTTTTGGGCACTTAGTCTCCTCATCTGTAATACAAGAGGTCTCTAAGAAGAGCCCAGGTTCTGTGGCTTATGTGAGAGAATCTGGACAAAGCTCCCTACAAACTCTGGCACAAGCCCCCGGCACATAGCTCCCATAACTCCTCCTTCAACACTTTGATTTCTTCCCAGCCCCATTTCACAAGTGTCTTTTGGTAATTTCTCCCCTACTGCCCCCATGCTCAAGTTCAGTGACACCTGGGAGAGACACTAGTGTGAAAATTCTGTGGATGGCTTTGAGAGCCAAAAGTCATTCATAACTCTGTCCCCGTGAGGATGGTCACCTCATTATGGCTTTTTGAGTTAGCTGGGATGCTGGCCTCATGTGCTCAATTCCATTTTTTTTTTTTCAGTGCTCACAAAGGGGACTGGGCTAGGATTAAGGCCTCACATTCCCCAAAAGCAGAGACTTTCAAACATAACAGTTTTCTCTTCAAGACAATGCCTCATCTGCCTTTCTGGGCAGGTCTATATGTCTGTCTATCTATCTATCTATCTATCTATCTATCTATCTATCTATCCATCTTTCTATCTATCTACTATCTACTTATCTATCTTATCCATCTATCACCCGTCTATCTTTCTATCCTACTTATCCATTCACTCACACACCCCTCTATCTATTTATCTATATACTCCCCCACTAATGTATTTATTAATTCACTATCTTACATCTATCTATCTATCTATCTATCTATCTATCTATCTATCTATCTATTCATCCATCATTTAGAAGTCAGGATGTGAGCTGCTTCTGTGAGTTCTGCACAGTGAGTTTTCAAGCTTCACACAGTTTTGGGAGAGCTACATACAATGCCAGATAAAAACAGGGCCAAGTGCTAAGTTAGAAAACAGAAACTACTGTAGGTAATGTGACTAGAGTCTGTGTGTATATGTACATGAGTGTGTGTGTGTGTACATACATGAAATGTGTGCTCCAAACCCAGATCAAATATAGAGACACAAAGATAAATGTGGTATTTCAAGACCTGCACGAAGTTCAGGGTATCTTGTGTGTAGGGGTGGTGTATGAGACAGACTATAAGCTAAAAAAACTAGGCAGGTTATGATGCTAAAGTGTCTTTTAAAAAGCTGGGAGATTCAGATCTATGAGTCTATGTAAGCATTCTTATTCAAACTACTACATTCCACTCCCTGCTCCATAGAATTGTAGCCATATCATAATGCAAAACTGCATTTAGTCCAACTTCAAAAGTTCCCATAGTTTCCTTCACTGACTAAGCTTGGCTGTCCTGGAATTTGATTTGTAGACCAGGCTGGCCTTGAACTCAGGAATCTGTCTGCCTCTGTCTCCAGAGTGCTGGGATTAAAGGCGTGTGCCACTATGGCTCTAATTTTTTCTTTAATTCCTTTTCACAAGTTGAAAGCTTAGCCAGCTAGGGTCTTGCCACGAGGTCATTACTTCCTGTATTTAAATTATGATCAGGATTTTCCTTAAATTTTTTCCTGGTGCTCTTTTTCTCCTCAAACTGTACATTTTGTCTTTTTCTTGCTCAGCTTGCTCCTTTTCGTTATAGATCTTGAAAGATCCCCGGAGGGTATCTTTCGTCTGAGAGACCCCTGCCCAAGGATCAACGAGCCCAGGCGTTCGGATGCAAACAGCAAGAGGCTTTTATTTTGATACACGGGTACCCGGGGCGAAAAGTCATTCGGGAGACTTCCGCGCCTCCTTGGGGAAAAACTGGGGTTTTTATAGGGTTTTAGAGCAGAAGCACTGGTACAGAAGCGAGAGGCATGGTTACAGGGGGCTGATTGGTACGTTTACACGAGACCACGGTTTGCGTCAAAGTTTGGCAGGGACACCAAGATTCCAGGAACTGGGTGGTCACAATGGTCATGATGACTCCTTGACGTGGCCCACCACCTGTTGTTTTCCTTAGGACCCTTATCTTAACTGGAACAGTCTCACAGATATCCATGAGGGTGATTAATACAAACTGTTTTTAGTTCGACTGGGGCACCCTGACCGCAGATATCCCAAGTGGGTGACACAGCTGGGTTTCTTACAAAACAGTGGTGTCTCACAAAATGGCATTAGCTATGTTTAACTTAGGGTGAGGCTGGGGTCTTTCAATCTGTGTAAACATAGCCAGTAAAACCTAA